TTGAAACAGATTTAATACTAAGACTTTTTTCCCTCCCAAATGCTCTTCAGATATCTAAAAATTTGGGAGGCTGGAGATGGGGAGAGGGAATTCCAGGCATGAGGCATTGCACAAGCCTCAGGCAAGAGCACCAGGGTTTGGAGAAGGCCAAGCTGTTGAAAGTGAGGATTCCATGCAGGAAGGTAGCTGAAGTGGAGTGCAGAGAAGCCAGCCAGGGCCAGCTTAGAGAGGGGAGAGCCCTCAGTGCCAGGTAGAGCGGCTAGGGCCCATTTCTGAAGGCACTGGGGAGCCCTTGAGGGTTTTAGATAGAGGAAGGAGGAAGTCAGATCTCCTCTGAGTGGTGACCACTGTGAAGAATGGTGGGTGGAGAGGAAGGATACCAAAAGGGAAGTCCCTCGGGAGCCCCTGCACCTACCTGGAAGATGAAGTGGGTGGGGCTAGGGGCAGAGGGGTAGATGTGAGGGAGATGGTTGGAGGCTGCCTTTTGTCCTCTTCTGCTCTTTTGGCCACATCTGTCTCTTTGCCATCTTTATTCATCAGAAATGGTGTAACAGTGTTCCTATTAAAGATGCGAATATTCCATTGGGAATCTTCCAGATTATTCCCAGTGATGCCCCACCCAAGTGGGCCCTGGGGACTTTTGGCTAGTGCTTCAGAACTCCAGTCAGCGCTGGCTCCCCAGCAGCATCTGAGCACATGCCATGGAGCAGGAGGCAGTGGGGCCCGAGGCTGTGGCAATTTCCTCCCTGTGAGAAGCTGTACAGCCCTGGTGGGGGGGGGAGGGCAGGACGGGGCTCCTTCCTTAGGCCAGGGGAGGACATGCGGTGTGGAGGGCCTCACCCTGGTACTGCTAAGAACTCATGTCCCCACGGACCCATGTTTCAGCCGTTTTTGTTTCCAGTGTCAAAATGTCACAAAATCAGGAGGCCCACTGCGGACCAATGCAGGGCCTGTCGCGGTACTGGGGTGCTGGCACGTGTGCTGGGGTCAAAGTGCCCACACCAAGGCTAGAATGTGGGGAAAAGTGGAGCTGTCTTTAATTCTCTTATCTGATGTCACCCTTGTCCCAGGTACACAGCCTCAGGAGAGAAGGGAACCATAAACTGGCTGGTGAGAGGTAACTCAGGCTCTTCCCATTTAAAAGCCTTCAGGGTGAATGGTCAGTCACCTCCCCTTTCCCTCTTCCCTGGGGGTGGGGTGTGGGAGGCTTGGTGGCCCTGCTTCTGCCCACACCTGTCCTGGTACACTCTGCTGTGGGCACTGGCCTGTGGTAGGGCTCAGTCAGAGTTTTTCCTCTCAGCAGTGGTTATGCAAGGTCTCCCCTCCTCTGCTGCTGGGCAGCCCTCCACCCCGGCCCCCCATCACATCCCAGCTCTGCCCCAGTCCCTCACCCTAGCCCCAGGTACATCTGCCCGGCAGCCCCAGATGTCTTGCCCACGAGTCCCCCAGATTTCTATCCCGGTTCCCCTTCTGATGGCCAGGAGCTGGGCCAAAGCATGCTGTACCTCCACTCTAGTTCTGCAGCCGCCCCTGTTGATGTGGGTGCTCTGTGACCTGTCCCTTCCCCGGCTCCAGGTGGCAGGCGGGACACAGCTCTCTCTGCTTTCGTTTTCTTCTCAAATCTCAGAGCTCTTTTGTACCCCCTACCTCCCTGCCCCTACTCAGGGTATGACCTGGGGGTCAATCCTCCCTACCTTCCTCTCCCCCTCTCTCTCCTGCCACTCCAGCAGCTGCGTGATTCCTGCATCTTCATTTCTGCATTGTGGCTTTCAGTCAAAGCCGAGGAGCTGACCTGGCCAGGCTTCGCTCGTGGTAAAGAGATACTTTGGGGACTTGTAAAGCCCCATTCTTTCTTAAGAAACACTGGATTTCACCAGGCACAGTTCAAAGGGCTTTATATTTATTAATTCTCCTAAGTGCAAAAACAATCCTATGAAGTAGATACTATTATTCTCCCCAATTTACAGGGGGGAAGCTAAGGCACAGAGAGGACTTAGGTCTCAGAGTAAGGAAGTGGCCAGGCTGGGATTTGGCCCCAGGCAGTCTTGTCTTAAGAATCCCTGGTGGCACAGAGGTTAAGCACTTGGCTGCTAACCAAGAGGTAGACAGTTTGAACTCACCAGCCACTCAGTGGGAGAAAGACGTGGCAGTCTGCTTCCATAAAGATTACAGCCTTGGAAACCCTAGGGGCAGTTCTGCTCTGTTGCATAGGATCGCTCTAAGTTGGAATTGAATTGACTTGTTGGCAATGGTTAGCCTGAGCTTGCACCCTCTAGCACCTCTTCTTACGTGGGGTGGAGCCCTTGGATAGGCTGTGAGGAACCTCAGAAGCCATGATAGAGGCTGGACTTGAGCCACTGAGTCCTCACAGTGGAGCAACCGGACCAGGTCTGCCATTTAGAAGTAGGCAGCCGAGGTGGTGGGTCTTGATTAACACTGTAACCCCATCTACAAACTTTCTGCACAGGCAAAACCGCAAGTTCTTTTTCCAGGGAAGCCATGGCAAGCTCAAGTTTATTGGGCGGGTTAACTTGGCCAGGGGCCATTCCAGTCATTTTCATTGTCTGTTGTTGTTATTACGTGCTGTTGAGTCAATTCCAACTCTTAGCGACCCTATAGGACAGAGTAAAACTGCCCCATAGGATTTCCAAGGCTGTAAATCTCTATGGAGGCAGACTGCTGCATCTTTCTCCCGTGGAGTGGCTGGTGGGTTCGAACCGCCAACCTTTCGGTTAGCAGCCGAGAGCTTAACCACTGCGCCACCAGGGCTCCTTGTTTCATTGTCTAATTCTCCTAAACGCCCTATCTGTGAAGGAGGACTGTGTCTTACCATTGTTGCTCCCCTACCTCCCACCACAAAAACAAAGCCCACTGGCTTTTAGGGCTGTTGTCTCCCTGTAGACTAAAAACATCTAGTTGGACCATCAAAGCTGGGAAACGAAGTCTGTGTTTTAGAGGTGTGCGCCCTGCCCCTAGGGTGAGTTGATCTATGGGGAGTGAAAACATACTGCTCTACTGTTTTCAAGAGTATCATTCTATTTCACATGGGTGGAATAGAATAATCTTCACAACAGCCTTGGGAGACAGGGATGACTATCCTTGTTTTACAGGAGGAAGGGGCTGTGTAAGTTGGCAAAGCCCCCAGGGACCCTGAGTGCCCTCCCCAGGTCTCCACATTGTCAGCTGCAGGTGGTGAGATGGGGGCGCCTGTGTCTCAGGCCCATGTCCACCTGCTCCTTCAGGTGGCAGGTGCAGGTGTGCTGGCCCACCCTCAGCAGAACTCTTGCCAACGTGCCCACAGTCCCAAGTCACCATGGCAATCGTTCTGTCTTCCTGCAGGTCTCATCAGCTGCACCTTCCCTACAGGAAATTGAGGTGGGGAACAAAATTATAATCAGAAGGCAGATTTGCTGAGCAGGACATTCCTGGAAGGGGGCCTCCCCTGGGAGCCATCTCACTTGTTAGCTCTGCCATCAGATTGGTGGCTTCTCTATGCACAGTGGGTGACAGCAACCCCCGGGCCCTGCTCCATCCCAGGAAGCCGCTTGTCTTGCCTAACTCAGGAGCCTACAGTCTCATCTTTCGTGATTTGATTTTCTGTGTTAACTCTCAGGTTCCCCCAGGTGTCTTCCCACGGGTTATAGGTAGGAATTACTGTTGCTTAGATAGAGATTCTAAACACTGGGGTTCGGGGGGTTTACAGCCCTGGCCTGCAGTAACAGAGAGGACTCTGGGAGGCTCTGTCCTCTGAGCTCCTGTATACTCAAGGAGGGAGTGGTCAGCCATTTCATGCCGCTCCAGTGCGTAAAAGTCACTGAGCTGTGATTACAACAGAGGGTCCCAGCCAGAACTGGAGAAAAATGTAGAACAAAAAATCAAGTTCACAAAAAGACCAGACTTACTGGTCTGACAGAGACTGGAGGAATTCTCGAGACTATGGCCCTAAGATACCCTTCTGACCTGGAACTGAAGCCATTCCTGAAAGACTACCTTCCAGCCAAACAATAGACAATCCCAAAAAATAAACAACACCTGAGAGGAACGTGCTTCTCAGTACAATCAATTATAAGAGATCAAAAGGACAATATTTGCCCAAAAGTAAAGATGAGAAGGCAGAAAGGGGTAGTAAATCAGGATGATAGGAAACAGGGAACCCAGGGTAGAAATGGGAGAGTGCTGACGCATTGTGGGGGATGAAGCCAAGGCCATGAAACACTTTATGTACAAACTATCGAATGAGAGTCTAATTTGCTCTGTAAACTTTCACCTAATGCACAATAAAACAAAAGGCTCTGAGTTTCTGCTAAGGGTGATGAAAAAAAATTGGAAATGGATAGTGGTGATGGTTGCACAACATGGTGAAGGTACTTAATGTCACTGAACTGTACATGGAAAAATAGTGGAAATGGCAAACGTTTTGTTATATGTATTTTACTACCATAAAAAAACAAAACAAAACTAAGATCTAGTGGTGGATCTGAAACTTACTGCCTTTTCTAAGTAGTGATGAGAGTAAATAATATTTCAAAACCACCAGCAACAACTGTGATGTGGTTTCTGCTGGTGACAGTCACAAGTACTGCCCCTGCACTAGGGTCTGTGACCTACATTCATGCTTGAAGAAAATGCCACATTCCAGTTAGAGGCTGGAGCCAATAGAGGGGTAATTTTCCCCTGTCCGTCCTGTTCTGGCTCCAGGGGAAGAATCCCTAGGCTGAGCTGAGGAGGGTATTGGTAATCCAGGCAGGGATGGTGGTGGCCACAAGAGGGAGTAGAGGGCACAGGGGGGATGAAGGGATGGAGGCAATAGATGGTTCAGAGATTGAGTTAATGGTGGTGCCTGGGTGTAAAGTGTGGGCAAGGGGGAGGAATTGAGGGTAGTGGTGGAGGGGCTTCCAGGATTCTGGTCTGGAGGATGGTAGGTGGAGATGCCGTTTTCAAAACCAGGGCTGGACCTTGGGCCTGTGATTCCTGTTGATGCCTCCCTGCTTTTCTTTAAGGTCAACGAAATCTATCATGATGAGTCCTTGGGGGCCCATATCAATGTTGTCCTCGTGCGGATCATCCTGCTGAGCCATGTGAAGGTGAGTAAGCACTGTAGGCCCTGCTGGCCATTCCAGATGCACCAGGGTCCCTGCCCACATCCCAAGGAGTGGGGCCCTCTAGTAAGACATGGCCCCGCCTTGTAAAGTGTTTATGTTTACCCAAAACCACCCTGTCTCCTCCCTACCCCGCCCGCCCTGTGGTTCCTATAAGACACTTGTGAGCCACCCTCTATATCCCTCCTTTATTTCACCCTCACCCTTCACTTTCTCTCCTGCCTGAGTCTTAAATCCATGCCTTCCTCTCCACCTATCACAAAGCTTCTGCACCAATTGGGCCCTCTGGGCCTTCCAACCTCCTCTTCCTGTTAAACTTGGAATTATCTTTCCTAACAGTGAGCATGGGTCTCTGAAGCAGGAATAGATAGCCATCCAGGGACAATGATCTGAGATGGAAAGATAGTAGGGTAATGGGATGCTGTGCATTGCTGCAGGGAATGTGAAATGGTTCAGCTGTTGTGGAAAACAGTGTGGTGGTTCCTCAAAAAGCTAAACATAGAATTACTATAAGATTCAACAATTCCATTCCTAAGTATATACCCAAAAGAATTCAAAGCAGGGACTCAAAGAGATACTTGTATACCAAGGTTTATTGCAGCATTATTTACAATAGTCAAAAGGTGGAAACAACCCAAGTGTCTATCAACAGATGAATGGATAAACAAGATATAGTATACACAGACCATGGAATATTACTCAGTCATAAGGAGAAATGAAGTTCTGTTACATGCTAGGATATGGATGAACCTTGAAAACATTATGCTGAGTGAAATAAGTCAGACAAAAAAGAACAAATATTGCATGATCCCACTTATATGAAATCTCTAGAATAGGCAAATGCATAGAGACCAAAGTTTATTAGTGGTTACCAGGGGTGGGTGGGACGTGAAAGTGGGAAGTATTAGGTAAGGGGCACTGAGTTTCTGTTCTGGGTGATGAAAAAATTTGGAAATGGGTAGTGGTGATGTTGTACAATATGGTGAATGTAATTAATGGTACTGAATTGTACACTTTAAAATAGTTAAAATGGCATTTTTTTTGTTATATATGTATTTTACCACAATAAAATTAAAAAAAAAAAAAAGGAAAAGAAGGATAATGAGATGAGGTGCAGAGAGAGGTGGTGAGGAAGGAGCTGGGCTGCCTGCATGTGCTGAGCAAGCTCCTGTGCCCCATGTGGGAAGTACCTTGTAGGTATTGACTCATTTAATCTCCAGAACCAATGATCCCCATTTTACAAGTAAGAACACTGAGACTTAAAGTGATTCAGGACATGCCCAAGGAGAGCCAGCCAGTGTCATCCAGCTCCACTGGAGTTGGACTTCTCATCCAGACAGCCAAATTCCTGAATCTATGGTGTAACTACACTCAAGTGCATAGAAAATCAAATCATAATAAGATCAAGCACTTCAGGTGAGAAAATTAGGAAAACGGTTAAACTCCCCTCCTAAAGGACAAAGAATCTCAGTCCCAAAATATTTAAATCAAACTACACACAACATGCAAGGAACACCATGGAAAAATGACAAGGAAGGGCTTATACACAGAACGAATTCTAGGAATTCATCACGAATTGAACCCATTCTCCTGACACAGGAGCCCTGGTGGCACAGTGGTTAAGACCTTGGCTACTAATCAAAAGGTCAGTAGTTCGTATCCACCAGCCACTCCCTGGAAACCTTATGGGGCGGTTCTACTCTGTCCTATAGGGTTGCTATGAGTTGGAATCAACTCAATGGCAATGGGTTCTCCTGACATATAAAGCATATCACTTTATGTGACTAAGGACAGCCACAGTGAGGGTATCAGTTATAGACCTTTATGCATCCCAAGTAGAACATAAGATATATAAAAGGAAGCCATTAGAACAAATGGGAAATTGGTGAAAACATAACTGTAGGGGTCTTTAATACCCTCTTCAAGCTCTTTAACAGATTAAATTTTAAAAAGCATAAAGTTTTGAATAATATGTTGTTGTTAGTTGTGAGTTAGTGGTGACTCACGGTGGCCCCATGTGTGCAGAGTAGAACTGCTCTCTCGGGTTTTCTTGGCTGTGACCTTTCTGGAGCAGCTCACCAGGCCTGTCTTTCGAGGGACCTCTGGGTGGGTTTGAACCTCCAACCTTTCAGCTAGTAGTTGTGTGCTTAACCATTTGTACCACCCGGGTCCTTTTGAATAATATAATAAAGTAAAATTATTTACATAATTTTTTTTCCTTACCCTAGAGAAAGAAGATGCACCTTCTTTTTGAAGAATTATAGAACACTTAAAAATTACAAATGTATTTTAGGTCATAAAGAAAATTTCAGTAGTTTTATACAGCAAAAACTATTCAGGCCATGTTCTCTAACTTAATGCTCTAAAACCAGGGGGGAAATGTGTAAACCTTAAAATTCCAATCCATTTGGAAACTAAAAAAAAACCCCGCATAAAAAGAAAATTAGAACTGCAATTGCAGACTAGTTGGGATGTCTATGGGATATAGCTAAAACTGTATTCAGAGGCACATTTGAAGGTGCTTTCCATGATTACACACCATAGAATGAAAACAAGTTAACCCTGCATTCAAATCAATAAGTTAGAACAAGTTTTAACGAAAACAGAAACAAATCTATAGGAAAGCAAAAAATAAGAAACTAGTTTAGAAAAAAAAGGAAAAATCAATAAATTCAGAAATAGAAACAGTAAAGTAATTAAATAAAATGAGCTTTGGCAAAAACAGTAATATAAATAAACCTCTGGTATATTTAATTTCGGAAACCCTGGTAGCATAGTGGTTAAGAGCTACGGCTGCTAACCAAAAGGTGGGCGGTTTGAGTCCACCAGGTGCTCCTTGGAAACCCTATGGGGCAGTTGTGCTCTGTCCTTTAGGGTGACTATGAGTCGGAATCGACTTAAAGGCAACAGGTATATTTAATGTCAAAAAAAGAGAGGAAACACAAACCAAAAGATTAGAAAGGGTAGATATAGACAGAGGTGTGTAGGTATGTAGGTATATGTTGTTGTTGTTAGGTCTGTCAAGTCGATTTCTACTCATAGCAACTCCATGTGACAGAGTAAAACTGCCCCATAGGGTTTTCTAGGGTGTAACCTTTACAGGAGTAGATTGCCAGGTCTTTTCTCCAGTGGAGCCACTGAGTGAGTTCAAACAGCCAACCTTTTGGTTATCGGCTGAGTGCTGAACTGTTGTGCCACCAGGGCTCCTATATAGATATATAGATATGTATTAAAAAAAAAAAAAAGAAACCAAACCCATGGCCATCGAGTTGATTCCAACTCATAGCTACCCTACAGAGTAGAACTGCCCCATAGAGTTTCCAAGGAGCGCCTGGTGTATTCAAACTGCTGACCTTTTGGTTAGCAGCCGTAGCTCTTAAACACTAAGCCACCAGGGTTTCCATGTAGACATATAGGTATATTGTAACCTACATCCAGAGGCTTATCTCAGCAGAGGAGAAAGCTTTCAGGGCAATCAGTTGCATTAGGATGCTGAGAGATTGTCACCTGGGCCTTCTCCATGTCCCCACCACTTGAATACCCAGTGGTGGTCAGTGGAGGAGGGGATGTACATGAATTTGCACTCCTTTTGCAGGTGAACGCAGCTGTGAAAGCTGGAAGAGGTCTTCATGAGGGACTCTAGACCACACAGATGCAGGGATGGGGGAGGTTGGATATGGGCCTGAGCCCTGCCATCTAGTTCAGTGCTCCATCCATAAGCAGGGGGTCTTTGGATGATCCCATATAGACTCTCCCCTCTGCCTCTCAGTGGAGTAGCCCATCAGCGTGTTGCCTCTTCTTTACTATCCCCACTCCTTCGCCTTCGCAGGCTGGGTCCTTTCAACCCTTCCCACCTGCATTCCACTCCTTGCCTGGGGCCAAACTACTGTCGTGTTTTAGGCAGGAGGGATGGGCACAGTTATATCCCCCCCCGCCTTCCCTGCTGGAGAGGAGAAATGGAAAACTTGCATTCTGGGGGTAGAAAGGGGAGAAAATTGGTGTGGGCAACAGGTAGCAGCTTTCTTTTTTTTGTCTCCCTGGTTATTTCCATATGAGTTAAAAAGAAAAAAAATAGTAAATTGTGTAGGGTTAGTTGCTTACCAATGCTAACAAAGCTTTCTTATCTTATTTGGCTTAAAAAGTGGCTTCTTCCCAGTCTTGGTTACCCAGTGAAAAAAAGTGTCCTTTATTAACTCCTCCTTGGCGGGCACTGTGCTAAATCATCCCTACCAAAACTGTTTCTTTTGATTGTTTTCACCTTAACTGCTGCAGGTAGATGGAAGGACTGTGTGGTGACAGTGAGCATTTGCAGAAGAGACTCAAAACCCAAAGGTGCTAATTTGAGGAACTCTGTGTCAGGGACCTAAAGATCCCAGTGAAAGTGAGGATTTCCTGGGAAAATGTAAATGTTTCAAAACTGACCCCCTAAAAAGTAGATAACACCGTAAGTCCCATAACCAGGGGAGAAACTAAAGTTCTTCACTGTTTTCAAAGTTATCTTAAAATTGCCTCTAAAAAAAAATTCAGGTAATCTATTTTTGCCAGTGCATTCTTATTCATTTGCAAGGAATTATTAAGCAAAGATAATGTAATATTGTAGAAATTGTTTCAGATTCATATATATGTGTGGATTGAAATCCACCCAATTCATTTTTTGTAGTTAATGTGATCCCTGTGCCCAAAGCTGCCAAAGGTAGCATATCCAAGACAAAGTACAGACCTGTCTCACTTCTAAATATAGATGTGAAAATCCTAAGGTACTAAGAGTTTAATTCAATAATGCATAAAGAAAAGCTTCTACCATGATGAAACAGGATTTATCCTAGGAATGTGGAGATTGTTTAATACGAGGACATCTATTCATATAATTCATCTTATCAGTTTGCCTAATGATAAAACTTGTCACCTAACAAGTACTTTTGAAGGACTTCTCTGTGTGAAGTGCTGTGCTGGGTGCTGGGAATATTAATTAACATGGTCCCTTT